ATTTATTTATTTATTGTCATCCTCAGAGCTCTATTTTCTTCCCAAGAGGCTCCAGAGGACGACCCCAAACTGGGCATGCTCTGTCTGAAGGAGGTCAGGGACATCACAGTGTGTTTAGATGTTTTTTCTGGTGTTTTAATGATAATCAAGTAAATACTGTATGTTGCTTTGTAGGCCTGCAAAGGAAAGAAGAGAGTCTTGTTTATCAGTATTTCCTGTGGAGTATCTGTAAGTCAGCTTCAACCTTCAGAGAGTATTTACCGTTGCACCGATTGGTCAGAAATGGTTCAACCTGTTTATTGTTGTTCTTCTTGTTTGTTTTTTTGGGTTCTGTAGGCTCCATTTGTGGCCGGTCAGCTCGACTTCTGCCTGCAGAACCCTGAAGTTTACACTCCTGTACTTGTGGGCTTTAACCCCACACATCAGGCAAGGTATACCCAGGAAAAGAGTAACAAACTTAAGCTATGGAGTGTACCTTTTTTTTTTATTATTTCAAAGGCATGTAAGATGGGTATTTACATGAAAGTGAGATGTCAAAAATTGCTAAATTATTCTTTAAAGGGCTATTGTGTTATTGTGTAGGGATGAGCTCATTCCTGGCTGTGCCTTCACATTTCGCACTGTGGTGGAAAGGATGCAAGAACTCGCCAAAAGGAAAAAAGCTTTCCTTCTCCTCCCATCAGTCGGGGTACTCACTCTTCTCTCCTGAACATAATTCCTTGTTGCTCCACTGAACTGTTCAGGATGCATTCAGGTCAAGTCTCCAAGACTCCGTGTGAGTGAAAGCATGTTTCTACACAGCCAGAAGCTATYGGGGGCTCGTCCAGGATGAAGGGGGGCAGTGCCACTAAGATCCTCCTGGAGGTGGTGTTGTCTGCCGCTCACGCTGCCACTTTCTCCAGCACGCCCATCACATACAAGTATGTATGATGAGGACATGCAAGAACTGGTAATAGACACTTTATATTGTTAGCTCTGAAAGTGAAACTGATCTGTGACTTTGAGACTAAAATATCTCTTTTAAGTGTTGAATGACCAAAATATAGGGTGAGTCAAAAGTCTTATGCCACCTGTTGAATTTCAGAAACAAACCAAAAAATGAAATTGAACTTTTGAACCACAAGAGATGTTTCATGTGATTGCAGCAATCCATTTCTGAAASAAATTTGGTCTTATCTGATACACATGACYAACTTTCCATTGGGGAAAAACTTGACTTTGATCCAGTGGTGACTTTCAAGATGGCAGCCATGTTGGGGACATGGCCTAAAAGTTAGACCCCCTCACCCATTATTTGCTGGGATTTTGAGATTTCATTTTCCCCAYTGGTTTCTGAAACAAGTCTTTTGACTCACTCTGTAGTAATCAATTAGAGCATATATTTTTGTTTTGTTTCATAGAAACAACATAATTGTCAGACAAACTTTTGACAATAAGACAACCTTAGCAAAAACAAAAATGTCTGGAACTCAGATGTATTTAATACAAATACTGAGTAACACTGTAGTGTGGTTGTGCCCAGGAGTCAATCACAACACATCCTCTGAGCACCAACAGACCCATGTTAGGTTTCATCTGATGTTTTTGCATGGATTTCAACCCAAACCCAGGGTGTTGTTTTAGAGGCTAGAAGACAAATTAATTTTATTACCCATTATTCTGATTTCACCAGTCAGCTGAAAGATGAGAGGCTCGTCTGCAGAAGATGTATAAAAGCACCTTCCTGGTACTGTTATGTTTTGCTGTGCGACACTGACCCCTAGTGGTTGCAATTCTGCAGAMACTCTCATGAGGTTGAGCTGCCTGACGTGTTTCAGGTTCAGGTTAGATGTAAAAATAAACGTGAAATAAAGCCCGAGGTTCTTTTTAAAAGATCTTTGCCCCACTTCTTCCAATAGAGGTATTCTGCAGCACTTCCGAGTGTACGAGCGAACTCTGGGTGTCACATACTCTCAAAGAGATGGGATAACATCTCTAGTGGAGGCTGCTGGACACAGGTACGTCTGGTTTTATGGCTTTTACATCTACAGCCTGAATTAAGCTGACTGCCATGTCTAATCCACCTTTTACACAAAAATGACCATCCATTATTAT